GGGTAAGATAGGGCAGGGCAGCAGGGGAGCACTCCTGGCACTGCAGCTTGTCCTTGGTGGGAGGGGAGGGGTGGGAGACCAGCTTTACCTCGCCACACTGTGACCAGCTGCTGTCCACTCCTGGAGGCTCCCTTTCCCTTGTTCAGGGATCATTCCTGCTCCCTCCACACCCCCCAGGCTCTGAGCAGACCACTGAGCCCATGCCTCAGAAAGCCAGAGCCTGTCTTCTTGAGCACTTGACTCCCTCTCCCTAGGCTAGGGGCCTGCCCCCCCCACCCCAGGCCCCTGGAGCATCCCCCTCTCCACTTCTCATCCCAGTCACCCCACAGTATACTGCTGCCATGGGGTGAGGGCGGGAGTGAGCCCAGCATGGGCCCTGTCTAGCTGAAGATGACCGGCTTCCCATCCTCCTGGCACAGAGAAGGTGCCCAGGGGCTCCTGGAAAGAAACTGCCCTACATAGGGTGTGTGTTGTTTTGGGGAGGGTGGGTATTTGGGAGGGGGGTGGGGTCAGGGAGAGAGAAAAAAAAATACTACCTGATTTGCTGGAGACTTTTTTCCCTCTTGCCTTACACGTTGCGGTTCTACAGAGCCTCCTGCAGACCTTCAACACCCAACTCTCGGAGCCCAGTCCTAAAACAAACCAAAGGAGAGCGGGGTGGCCCACCGCTCCCCCCTCCCCCACCTGCCCACCCATCCGTCCATCCTTCCCCCTGGAAGCCCTTTGTAGATTGCACTAATTTAAACCAGAATGAGAATCGACACTGTATCAGTCCGCAGACCTGCTGAGAGCTGCAGCCACTCGCTCCTGGAGTTAGGGAGGGACCTGGGTTTTCCATTTTGTTCCTTTCTAGCCTGAGTTGAGGGCCGGGCTCTGACCTCACCTTTCTTCCTAGGGATGGCCCCAAGAAAAGAGCAGGTTAGGAGTTCCCCCACCCCCTTCTCGCTTGGGCCTGGTTGGGGTGGGAGGGGGGGGAGGTGGCAGCAGTGAACAGGCCCTGTTTATTTCCTATTCATACCAAAGAGGGACCGTGATGGGGGAGGGAAAGGCTGAGACCTCGAGTCTTGCCTCTAGTTAGCTGCACTGCCAGCTGCCCACCCCACACCAATGTGTTTGCCCTCCTCACCCTCACTCCCAGTCTCTGTAGATTCATGGGGAGTTGAAGGGATCAGGCTGTGTGAGAGGCAGAGAGCCTCTTGATCTGGGGATACGCCTGTGCAAGGCCAGACCTTCTGAAGGCCTTTGTGGCACCCCTGCTTTGTCCTTGTCCTCTCTATGTCCCTTTATATTGAGGCGTCTGGGGGGGGGGGGGAGAGGGACAGTTTATATCCACTAAAGAGTGGATGAGGTCCCTAGGGTACAGAGGAGAAGTTATAAGAGGGGAGCCCAGGCCCAATTAAGGAGGAGAGGAATCTGAGGGCCCCTCAAACAAATAAGCTGATTAGGGGGAAAAAATCAGTCTGGGAGGGATGGGGATCCTGGGATGCTCAGGGCACCTTGCCCACAGCAGGCAGTAGGGGAATAATGCATGAAGGAGGCTTGGGATTGGAGCTCTTCCTGCTGCCCAGCAGCGGGGGTATCCTCAGATACCTGCTCCATCCCAAAGGATCCTCAGTGATCCTGCTAGTGAGAAAAAGCTAAGCCTCTAGCCCTCCAGAAGGAGGCCCACCCTCCCACCAGGGAGGGAAGAGACTTTGCTCCTTGGGTCCCTTCTCCTCAAGGCAGGGCACCCCACTGCCACCCAGGACTCTTTCATGCTTTTTTAATCTCTTAGATATGGAAATATTTTTTGAAACTGAAAATGCAGCTGGTAGAATTTCAATGGAAGTGTAATCCATGTAAAATATATTTTAGTTGATAATTTTGTAAAATGCACTTTTTTTGTGTCGCCCCTGGTTTCCCAGATCTGTATTTCAGTGTTTACAAGGCGGGGAGAAACCTTCCCTCTCACCCCCTTCTGACAGAGAAATTAGAAGTAATTCTTTAAGAAAAAAAATAAATTTGAGAAATTGTATTGATTTAGAAAAGGTTCACTTCTTTGGTGTCTTGTCATCTTTTGCCTGCGAGTCTGTTTTATGTGTTTGCGTGCTAACTATTGCAATGCCACTTCTCAGTCCAGAGGACTTTCCTTCTGCCCCACCCCCACCCCAGTAAAAATTGTGGGGTAAATTGGAGAGGGATTGAGGCAAGGATTGAACTCTTATGGGGATGGAGAGGAGGGACTGGAAATTGAAGACCTCTAAGATGAATGAATGAATAAGCAATTAAATGCTTGCTATGACCCCAAGCATTGTGAATGCAGTTTCAGCCCTCAAGGGACTGCATGGGAGGGGGGGTAGTGGTAGCCAAGGAAGGGTGATGGAGGCCAGTGGACATTTGATGGTTCATATGCCCAGCACAGAAGCAATGGTAGTACTGATTAGATTATTCAACTCAAAGGAAAAGGGGTAGATCAGATGACTCATGGATCATCACTAAGGTGAATTTTGTACCTTTCTTCCATCCTTTTCCAAGAACTTACCTTAGAATGGGGATGGGAAGAAATGCTTCTTAAATTGTCCCAACAGACCTACATAGTACTCTCCCTCCATCTGAAAAATGGGGGTGATTCAGGGAATGCATCACTAATATAGGTGACTCACAAGTGGTTGGTTTGGTTTAGTGTGAGTCAACTCTCAAATCTCAGTTTACCAGTGAGCAAGGTCTGCTCTGGGGAGGTAGAAGTGTTATAATAGCAACAACAGTAAAAATTCACACAGGGCTTTAAGGTTTGCAGAGTGTTTTACATATATTAATTATCACAACAACCTGTAAGGTGGGTGCAATTATTGTGCCTGTTTTACAGAGGACGAAACTACATAGTACGCATTTAAATGTTATGAGTGTAGAACAGGTAAAAGGTAATACGCAATCTGTTAACTGTTTCCCCTCACCCCCAACTCTTGAGAATTTCTTTATCTGAAGAGGAAGGGCTTGCACTGAGGTTGTCTTCCCCCAGGAAGCAGGGATAGCATCACATCCTCTCCTGTGTACCTCTGGGAGTATGCCTGAGAGGGAACGAGAATCATAGATACATTTGGTGCCAACCTGGGAAAGATAACGGGCACAAATTTTGCCCATGGGGCATTGGTGGGAAGGGTAATCTAGCAATGAGCTTGTGAGCAAAGCTATGCTGAGAGAAGACATTGTACCTGCTGTTATGGAGTTTGCCAGCAGGCAGCAGGGGGAGGGCATCGGAAGGCACCAATATGATATGACACAAGCTGGCATATGGAGTCGACTAATTATCTGTACTGCTGGGAAAGTAAAAATGGTGCAAAGAATATATAGTAAACTTTCAAACTTGGTATATGTTCACTGATCTGAGAATTACCCTCCCCCTCCCCCCCCAGCCCAGCCCTGTGAAGAACCAATAGGAAAAATCTGGAAAGACGATTTAACCAACCTCCTTCCTACCAACTCTTTGCCACTCTGTTAGAATGGACTGCAAAGCTTTCCAAACACTTCCTCCCCCACTCAACTCTTCCTGAATTCTTTTGATGGCATTCCATATTCTCAATCACTCTCGGGCCAAATCTTGGAGTCATCCTTGGCTCCATTCTCTTCTTCACGTGGTCCCGGTCCCTCCCCACTTTGCAGTCAGTCAGTTATTCCAGGGACCCATGTGCCAGAGCGGCGGTACCAACCCAGGGGGTTTCATTACATTGCTGCTTTCTTGCTGGGTCTCTCCCCACCTCAAATCAAATACATGAGTGAATACTACAGTAGTGGATGGGCAGTTCTACGTTACTGTCTCAGTGAATCCTTCAAGGGAGCCGAGCTGGGGGATACTGTTGGTCACTGTCCGAGGATCAAAGTTCTAAAGCCAGAAAGGACTTAAGAAGCCATCTAGTCCCATCCTCTCATTTGGAGGAGGAAACAGCCTTAGGGAGGTTCAGTGATTTGGCGAAGTCACAGAAGCAAAAAGAGGAAGAGGAAGGATGAGAAGCCCCCGGTCTGCAGACGCCAAAGCCAATGCCCTTTCCACCGACTATACCAAACTGCAAATGTGCCTGATGGCGCAATTCCCCATGCTCTGAATGAAAAGTATGTCCAACAGCTTGCAGCTGCAGGGCCTTGGGACGCTGAGTGGGGAGAGGCCTCCTGAGGGCGAAACTTCAAAATGGGAAGCCAAAACCTTAATCTGAATCCCAGTCCTGCCCTAGCCTGGCTGTGAGGTTGTACCAACAGCCCCGTGTCTTTCTGGGACCCAGTCCCATTCAGATTGAATGGAGTTTAACAGCATAGAACCCAGGGCAGGAGAAGCCTCTGTGGAGGGAAAAAATCCTAGGTAGAGGGAGTGCCCATCCTCCATCCTTCCCATGGCGGGACCCCTCCGTCCTAGGGCACACCAGGGTATTCAGCTGATGACTGCAGGAAGCTGGGGGTGATGAGGGACTGAGGTGAAAGGAGAGTAAAGTGACTGCCAATGCCTGGAGGTCCCCCACCCCACCCCATCCCACCCCACTTCAGTTTAGAGGACTTCAGGGCTTCTTTTGTCCATGCAGCTGGTGGGGAGGCGCAGGGCGTCTGAGTTCCTCTCTCTAAGGACCCTTGCCAGTCTTAGAGGGCTGAGCTCACTCATAGCCTTGAGTGCTTCCTATTCTCTGGTCCATGAGGGGAGAGGGGTGCGACGCCCCCAACCTTGGACCCGCGGTGCTCGGATGCCCCCCCCGGGACCCCTTCTGAAGGGGGCGGGATGTATCCCGAGCGGGAAGAGGTGGTGGGAGCCCCCAACCTGAGCCCCGGCTGGGTGGGGGCGGAGCCCTTCCTCCCGCCCTCCGCTCCATGTCACAGCTGGGGCCGGGCCGAGCCCGAGAAGGGGGAGCTGGGCCAGGCGGGACATCCGGCCTCCGCTGCTTCCCTCCTCCTGCCCAGCCGGCCCGAACCGCGGCGTCTGCAGCTCCGGACTCGGTAACGTCCCGCTGCCCGCTCTGGGCCGCTCCGCCTGGCCCGAGGCGAGCGCCCTGCGCCCCTCCCGGGGCCCCCTCCCGCACCCCCAGCGCTTCCTCTAGCCCAGAGCCAGAGCACAGCAGCCCGTACCCTTCCACTAGGCCAGGCCTGAAGCTGGACTCCCTTTCAGTGTCTCCTTCCCCTCTCTCACTGCCTGAGACTGAGTTGTCTCCAAGTGACTGCCCCATCCTGTAAAAGCTAACACTTAAGTAGGTCCTTCTTTCTGGAGTGGGGAGCGAACCCCATGTTCCCCCGGCCTCTCACCCCACTGACAGCCCCGAAGGGCACGGAGCCCATGGGGCGGGCATCGAGGAGGAACCCCCTGGTTGCAGGAAGGGGTCGGGGTGGGTCAGGAGGGCCACCCCTGCTTCTCCCCTCCATGCTGATGTTTGGAGTGATAGTGGCCTCCAGTGGGCTGCTGCTCATGATTGAGAGGGGCATCCTAGCGGAGATGAAGCCTCCACCTTTGCATCCCCACGGCAGAATGGACCCTGTCTGGCGTAGGGTGGCAGCTGGAGGTCCAGAAGTACTGCTGGATCCTGGAGACCCGGACCATCAGGTGCGACAGGATGTCCGGAATCGTACCTTAAGGGCTGTTTGTGGGCAGCCAGGCATGCCCCGTGACCCATGGGACCTCCCAGCAGGGCAGCGTCGGACTCTCTTCAGGCACATCTTGGTGAGTGACCAGTACCACTTCCTCTACTGCTATGTCCCCAAAGTGGCCTGCTCCAACTGGAAGCGTGTCCTCAAGGTCCTGGCTGGTGCCCTGGACAGTGTGGATGTGAGGCTCAAGATGGACCATCGAAGTGACCTGGTATTCCTGGCTGACCTACGCCCAGAGGAGATTCGATACCGCTTACAGCACTATTTCAAATTCTTGTTCGTTCGTGACCCGATGGAGCGCCTCCTCTCTGCCTACCGAAACAAATTTGGTGAGATCAGGGAATACCAGCAGCGTTATGGTGCTGAGATTGTCCGCAGATACCGTGTGGGTGCAGGCCCTAGCCCTGCTGGTGATGACGTCACCTTCCCCGAGTTCCTTAGATACCTGGTGGATGAAGAGCCAGAGCGTATGAATGAGCACTGGATGCCCGTGTACCAGCTGTGCCAACCCTGTGCGGTGCATTATGACTTTGTGGGTTTCTATGAGCGGCTGGAGGCTGATGCCAACCAAGTGCTGGAGTGGGTGAGGGCACCACCCACAGTTCGATTCCCCTCCCGACAGGCCTGGTATCGACCAGCCAGTCCTGAGAGCCTCCACTACCATCTCTGTAATACCCCCAGGGCTTTGCTGCAGGAGCTTTTACCCAAGTACATCCTGGACTTCTCCCTCTTTGCCTATCCGTTGCCCAATGTCACCAGGGAGGCCTGTCGACAGTGACCATTCCTCCAGCCCTGCTGGCTGCCAGGAAAAGCCCTTTTGTAACCCCAAGGCCAACTACTGCCTAGATCCCAGAGTGTCCCCACAGTGGGGAAAAAAGGATCAGAATTCTCATGTAACCAGGGAATTATACTTCCTGTCAGCTGGACACTAGAGCTGAGAGATGGGGTCATCCTTCCAGGGCTCTTTCTGAAGGCTTTTAGACTCTCCCCAGCTGCTGGCCCAGAAAGCAGGGGTGACTTCCAATTACTCCAGATTCCAGCAGGCTCAAGTGCTGTTAAGCCACCTATGCCTTGGAGCAGGACAAGGTGGGAATTTTTTATCCTGGAGAAGCATTCTGAGATATACTGCTACTTCTACTGGGGGCTGGAGGGTTGGGGGTAGAGGGTTTCAACCAGAGGATAGAGACTTTTCCATCCAGTATTAACTAAAGGTGCATTTCCCACAGCCCCTGCCCCCTATGTCCACAGAAAAATGGACTGTATCTGAGAAAAGGTTTGGGTCCTCACCCTGCTAGGGGAGAAAATGGTAGAGTAAATAGTGTTGGACTTGGAGTCTGAAAGACCTGGATTCAAATATGCCCAAGATATTTGCCAACTTTATTATCCTAGGCAAGTAATTTAACCTCTTTGGGCCTCCATGACCTCTAAGGTCCCTTCCAGCTCCAAATCTATGAGCCTATGAACACAAGCCTCCTCTTCCCAGTAGCTGACAGCTGCCCACACCTGCTGCACTTTTTCCCATGACCAGAACTGGAGGTGACATTAATCCCTTTTTAGGGCCAGCCACAAAACCATGTAAAGCCTAGTGGCAGACAGTGGTGTTGACTGCTCCTCCCCACCACCTCTGTGCTATCCTTTCTAAGTGCCTTCTATGCCCTCTCCAATGCCAGATTCAGTATCTTTTCTATATCAGTTGGGTTCTTCCCATCGTCCAGAGAAAGAAACTGAGCTGTGAGAACTCAACTGGGCAGTCCAGTTCTGAACCAGGAAAAGAACCAGGTAATCCCTATTAAAACTCCATCCCCTATCACTCTCTCTCTATCCTTAGCCAAAGAAATGGCCCAAAAGGGCTGAGAGGCACATGATTCTTCAAAGTTGCAAGCAATCAAAACAAACTGGCAAATTGGTGGGGGGCTTTCTTTATCGTATTCTTTTATTTGGGGCGGGAAGAACTTTTTTCTTTTTTTTTTTTTAAAGAAAAATGTATTTGCATGTGCCTATCCCGATGAGTTTATTTAAGATTTGTACTTCTCAGTGCCAGCCACTGTCTGCATCAGACATCCCCTCTGAGGGTTTTTCTAACAGCTGCATTTTTAATAAAGTTGTTCTGTCCGCATATGGCAGGGTTCCGATGTGTCTCTCATCCGTGCTTTTGTAGACTCCCTGTGGTTGTATCTCCCAAGGCCTCTGCAGGGGAGGAGGGAATATGGGGATCAAAGCCAGAGAAAGCAAGACAGAGCAGGACAGGGTTGTGTATCAGGAAGCAGGCTGGATTTGGAAGCTGGGGACTGAGGTTCCCATCCAAGTTCTACTGCCCATGTGCTAGATCATCCCTCCTGGCCTCATTTTATTCATCTGCATTGAGCAGAATGATTTCTAAGACTTTTTGTAGCCCTGGATCCTTTGGTTGGTTGTCTCAAAGACACTTATTCCAGGCCAGCCAATGGATCATCCCCACATGGCCCCGGGAGATTTATAAAAGATGACAGCATACTGTGCAGGTATATGGCACCAAAAAAAAAAAAGGAGTTAGTCTCCAGTCACCCCAAAGTAGACTTGCCTCTGTTTAACAAACATTCATACCATGTCTTCCTACTCTGTGCAAGGTCTCTGCTAAAGTCCTCCTCCCATGCCTCATTGTGGTGCTGAGGTCCTGGAAGGCTGTGTCAGTGGAATGTGAGTTCTGGCTGGCCCTACCAAGCTGGCAGAGCCTCGAATACTGACTGTGTGTCTGAGTACTGGCCGGTGCATCTGTCATCGAAGGATGGCTTAGCTAAGTTTAGAGTAATGCATCACCAGAATGGTGGGGTGGGGGGTGGGAAAAGGGAGTGGAGGGCCTCAGGTTTAATTGAGGGAGAGAGGAGGAGCAAAGCAGGTAAGATGTGTGTGTGTATTTATTATGTTATTATTATGTTATTTATTATATATTATCACATTATTGCTGACAATTCAAGAAGATATTCTACTAAGGTGTAGCAGAGGTTACCATCTATAATTGGTAAAGGCAGTACCTACTGACAAAATTTAAAGTCTTTGAATTATGGGCAAAGCACTCATGGGATCATAGGGTTTTGAAATGTAAGGGACCCTAAAGTCCATCCAGTCCAACCCTTTTACAGATAAGTAAACAGAGCTCTAGAAAGTGGGTGGTAAACGACAGCGCTAGGGTTTGAACTCCAAAGGCTTCAGTCTCTCCACTATGCCAACCTTCCTCCCTAAACATTTCTCTCATTCAAAGCAAGGACAAGTGGTGTTAGGCCTAGAAATGTATGTTATTATACTTATGGTCCTATTCCTTCTTGTTTTTCTTTCAGTGTTTCCTTAGCCTTAGCCTTACAAGAGGTAAAAGACTGAGAAAGGCCTGACACTGCAGAATGAGAGGGCAAATAAAAGGAGAGAGGGGAGGAAAAGATAGAGGGGAGTGAATGGGTAGTATATGGTAATCAGGTCTATGGTAAATGATGACCTATAGTATCTCAGGAAGAAGAGGAACTACTGGAGAATGGGTGAGGGGGCAAAAAGAGGGATTTAAAACAGAGGCAAAGGAAGGAGGAAATCTTGATTTGGTGGAGGGAGACAGTCCCCCTGAAGAATACTCCGATATAGGGGACAGATATGGGAAATCTGATATGGTAACGGGAAATGGGAACTCTGATTCAGGAGAAAGGGAATTGAAGCTTCTAAGGACAACAGACATCCAGAAGGGTGGGAAGTCATAGACCCAAAGAGATTTCATGGCAAATGGGAAAGGTCATGATCATGAGGATTGAACAATTGGGGACACAGGAAAATTTCTGTCAGGGGACAATATTTCTACCATCACTATCATCTGTAGGAATTAATACTTCTAAGAGTGATGCACAACAGAAAAAGAGAGAGAGAGAAAGGGTGAGAAAGAGAGAGAGTAAGGGGAAATATCAACAAGGCAATGACATAGAAATTGTTTAGAAGAAGGAACTCAAAATAGATATTTTAGTAGCTGTAATTCCATAAGGAACAAAGAGACCAGAGAAGGAAGAAATAAGTCTATGGACTATGGATCAAAGAGGGAAAATTTATACAGAAGGAGAAAAAAATTAATGAAGAGAACAAGGGAATGAAATCCTTTTTAGAAAAGGGCCCAGAAAAAAAAATTTACAAATTAAAAATAAATTTTAAAAAGAGAAGGGTTCTAGAAAATGAAAAAAGAAAACTAACAAATAAATGAAAGTAAAAAGGAGGAGGAAAAAAAGGACTTTATTCAATTACTAAACTGAGAGGAGAAAAGGAGGGAAGATTTAGATAAGTAGGGAGGAAAGGAGGGAATTAATAAATTGAGTAAAACTCCAAAAATAGGGAAAGAGGTGACACATGGGAGGGCAGAGTAGAGTGGGGTTCAAGGGGAAGAGAGGCTATGGGAATGGGTTGCCTTGAAGTATATTAAGCAAAAGACAAAGTTCTGTCCTTAAATAGGAATAGGAACAAAAAAAAAATCCTAATTCAGAAAACAAGGGCAGAGCAAGACTGACTTTTAAAGTCACTCCACCCTCTCTGGGTTAGATTGGCAGCTGTTCTGAAACTGACATTCATAGAAAGTTGCCCAAGTAACTGAGAAGGGAAGTAATTTACCCAGGGTTACAGAGACTGTGTTAGAGTTGGAGCTTGACCTAGGTTTTATTGTCCCCAGCGGCAGATTTCTATCTACTGCGCTATGTGGTCTCCTCTTGTTTCCTCAGTATAAATAGTAATAATAACAGTAATAGTAAATCGGCAAGCATTTATTAAGTTCCTGTTATGTGCTATGCACTGCTAGGTGCTGGGGATACAAAGAAAGGGGAAAGAAATAGTCCCAATCCTCAAGAAGCTTACGTTTAATGGAGGGAGATAAGAGGTAAACAACTATGCGAGAGCAAGATATAGACAAGATAAATTGGAGATAATCTCAAAGAGAAGGCTGTAGGATTGAAAGGAATCATAAAAGCCTTCTTGCAGAAGGTGGGCCTTCAGTTGAGATTTGAAGGAAGCTGTAGAAACCAGGAGGTGGAGGTGAGGAGGGAGAGAATTCTAGGCTTCAGAGACAGCCAATGAAAATGTTTAGAGTCAAGAGATGTGAGGCATGTACAAAAATATTTATAGCAGCTTTTTCTGTGGTGGTCAAGAACTGGAAATTAAGAGGATGCCCATCAATTGAGGAATGGCTGAACAAGTTGTGGTATATGAATGTGATAGAATACTATTGTTCTATAAGAAATGATGAGCAAGCAGACTTCAGAAAAACCTGGAAAGACTTAAATGGACTGATGCTGGGTAAAGTGAGCAGAACCAGGAGAATGTTGTACACGGCAACAGCCACGTTGTGCGATGATTAACTTTGATAGACTTACCCCTTCTCAGCAATTCAAGGATCGAAGACATCTCCAAGTCACATAATGGAAAATGCTACCCACATGCAGAGAAAGAACCATGGAGTTTGAATGCAGATTGAAGCATACTATTTGCTCTTTTTTTTCTGTTTTGTTTTGTTTCTTCTTTCTTGTGGTTCCTCCAATTGGTTCTAATTCTTCTTTACAACATGACTGATGTGAAAATAAAAAAAAAAAATTTAAAAAAAAAGAGAGATGTGAGGAACAGCCAGGAAGTCAGCATCATGAGATTGAATACAGGTGAGAGACTGAAGAGTAAGATGTAAGAAGACTGGAAAGGTAAAAAGGGGCCAGGTGATGAAGGCCTTTGAAAGCCAAAGAATTTTTTGTTTTATAGGCAATAGGGAGCCGTTGGAGTTTATTGAATTGGGGTGGGGAAAGGGAGATGTGACATGTCAGATCTGAGCTTTAGGAATATTAACTTTGACATCTGGATGGAGGATATGCTGCAATAATGGGAAGAAACTTGAGGCAAAGAGATGGATTCGAGGGCTATAGCAATAGCCAAGGTATGAAGTGTTGGGGGCCTGAAGTAGGGTGGTAGTGTCAGAGGAGAGAAGGAGGAAGGTAGCAATGACAAGACTTAACAATTGATTGGATATGAGAATGAGGATGATAGCTAGGTTACAAGCCTGGGTCAATGGTCAATAATGAGAACAATAATAAAGTTCACACAGCACTTTAAATCCATTATCACAATTGCTTTATGCAGTCGTGTATAATATGATTCCCTTTGGTAAACACAGATTACTGCCTGTGAATAGAACATAGGTAGATTCAGAACTGGTTGAAGGGGCAGGCCCAAAGAGTAGCCAATGTAGTTTAATGGTTCAGTGTCAATGTCATTTTGGGAGGATGACACTAGAGGAGCTCCTGGAGGATCTATGCTTAACCCTGGGCTACTTAATATTTTTATCCTTGACTTGGATAAAGACACACTAAATTTATAGACAACACAAAGCTGAGGGATAGGTAATATTCTAGATAACCAAGTCAGTATCCAAAAAGATCATAATAGTTAGAACTTTGGGCTAAATCTTCAATATTCTAATGGAAATGGGATCTCTTTGTTGTGGGAATGTCCTTCAACAATGGAGATGGAAATCCATTCATGCCTGCCCATACATAAAGTTGGAAGTTCGAAGAAAGGGGTCCACCCAACATTGTGGGGTTAGGAAGCTCCCTTAAATTCTCAATGCCATGACAACCTCGATATACAGTTATCCCTGTAATCAACTCACCTTTCTTTGATTATACCTTTATATTGCTTATACTGTACAAGTTTTCTTCTTCTTTTTTTTTTTTTACCATTTTGCACTCGGATCACACCCATCATGCATTCAATAAGATAAAATTTAATAGGAAGAAATGTTAAAGTCCCATATTTGTGTCCAAAAAAATCAACTTCACAAGTGTAAGATGGGAGATGTGGCTTGATAATGGTGTTATTTGGCAGCCAAAAAAAAAGGACCATATGATCTTAGGCTGTATTAATTATATATTAACAATATGTAATAATAATAATATTTTAATTTTCAATTTAGAGTTCAATGAAGTGATTTTTTACTATATTTTGACTTGGTCAAGCTATATCTGAAGTATTTTGTCCAGTTCTGCTGCCACATATTAGGACGGACATTAATAAGATGGAGGTGAGCTGAATAGAGAAGGGTGCCCACTTCAAGTAATGGGATATTTAGCCTGGAG